AAGTCAAGCAAAGTCAGAAAATAGAATAGAAGCTACGATCTTTGAAGCAAATAATGAGATAAGCGACAGTGAGTCGGTTATATCTGAGCATGCACAGGGAGGGGACTTGTGTTCAGATGTTGATTCGAGTAAAGAAGACCCCGAGTTGTTAGAACTGGCAGATGAAACCAGCGAACAGCAGAGTGTTTTACAGGATGATGAATAGTTTATGTAGATATTGAATAATCAATTGTAGTTTTTGGAAGAAAGTAAAACTATCCGGCAATTTGAAAGTCAATAGTTGCTTTTTCTTTCTTTCTTTTTTTCTTTTTTCCATTTCGATTAATATGACACAATAGCGGTATTGGGAGATAAAACTGGATGAACGAGAAATGCGGCATAAGTTGATTAATTAAGGACCTCTCTTGCACCGTGCACGTAATTACCGTGCTAGTGATCAAGCCGCCAATGTCAACACAACTCGAAGATTGATTGACAAATTCAGAAAGATATAATGATAAATCAAATTATAATTACTTAACGAATATAATTTTAAATAAGCGATTTATGATTATAGTTTTATAATTTAACTTCGGTTCTGGATAAACACAAGCGAGCGCCGGTGAGATGAATACCACTCGAGCTACAACTATGAGTAAATGCTGCCACGACCAGAAGCGCTACATCTGGATCCGAAAAACAAATATAATCACCGCAAGTGTCAAAAAACAATAACAACTAAATCCCTAAGAAAACACAACTTCCCTCAATGGAAATCTTTTGAGTTGAATTATTAAGCAAACAATATAAACTTCAAGACGTAACCTCATGTTGGTAGGGGAAAAAAAATTGAGTTTGCCTAATAAAAATTATTCGCAAGGAAAACCAGAATACCAGAGCAAAGGTGAAGCAAATCGACGAATACTAGTGATCACATGATCACGTGAGCTTCCAACAAAAAGCTTAAAGTTACATTATGGCTTCATTTCTCCACATTCATTACTGATGAAATTACCCAAAAATTACTAAGTTTGACTTTTGTTTTAGCCACAAATATGTAAAATTTGCGATCTTTGGGTAAATGCTGCCACCTATAGTAGCGCTACATCTGGCAAAGAAAGACGCAAAAAAATCAATAATAGTGTCAAAAACCAATAATAACAATCGATGTCGCTCCAATTAAATCAAACAATATAAACTTCAACAAACAGCCAAATAGATATTTACTTTAATTGGATCATCAAAGAATTTGTGGTTTAAACGTATCAACGATTAATTGATACGGTCAATAGACAAAAGATGTTTCATTGAAAGTCTTGGTTTTAGTGTGTCAAAAAACAATTTTGGTACATTAATGTTCAAACCTAGATAACAAAGAAACTGTCCAAGTAAGTACGCAATGAAATTTTGGATTTGTATCTAGAAGCAACAGATGTATTACAGATGCCTGTAACACAATAATAATACAGGCAGTATTATGCAAAAAAACACTTTCAAATTGAATTCAGATAGTCTTTGAATGTTGATGTATAAGGAGTGCAAGAATATTAACTTGATTTTAGAGGATGTCAAGCAACTGTTATCCCTCCTTTGACGCACAGAACACACAAGATTTGGTTGAGGAAAACTAGTTTCGTCTTTACTAGAGCTTTTCAATTCCTCGATCTACAACTGTTGGGAATTGAAAAGGTTTAGTAAAGTCGAAACTAGTTTTCCTCAACCAAGTCTTTTGTGTTCTGTGCGTCAAAGGAGGGATATRTAAGTATTTTAACATCCTCTAAAATGAAATATCAAGAGATATTAACTTGGGTTCTCGATAAGCAAAGGGCCAGCGCCTTCGTACAATCATTGTCAAAGCGACGAATTTGGAGGATCGTCTTTTTTGCTTGCTTCAACCTTTGTGACTGAACAGTAAGACGAATCAAATTATGGATTTACTTTCAAATAGAATTTTAATGTGAACGATTTATGAATACAGTTTTCTTTTTCGCTAAAACTAATTATTTTTAACTTTGATTCTTGACAACCAGGAGCGAGCACCTACACTTCAAAGACAAGTCTAACCGCAATTCTACCTCACCAATACGATACCTTTCGGGATCACGTGAGATTGAACACGTGACCGAGACCCATTGCTACGCGTGGCCGAATGGAAGTGCCTTCGGTTTCTAAGACCCGTCTACACGAGCAATTTTTATGTGACGACTATATGTGACATTTTTTTTGTCCGTGTTGACAGGCAGCCAGAAATTATTGTTGAAGACTCGCGCCAACTGTGATTTTGCACAGCGGAGATGTCAATAAACAAAACAAATTTAATTACCATAGTTTCGTAGTAGCACTAGAGATAATAAAACTTTAAAAAATACGATATATTTTTTAAATATATTTTTATATATTTTTTTAAATATATTTTTTATTTTTTTTATTTTTTTACAATGAGGATGGCATAATGTCATGCTGAAACATGTTAAGATTGAAAAATATATCGTATTTTTTAAAGTTTTATTAAAACAAATTTAGTTGGTGTTAGCTCTGTTAGCAACAACAATAATACCATTCTCTCTGTCGAATCCAGTTGTTCTGCTTACTATCGGTGTCGCCATCTTGGTTGGTGTGCAAAATGTTGAGACTTGGATTCAGTGTGACGTCGAAATAATTGCCACATTTATGTGACGCTCGTCCAAACGGGAAATTATCGATGTGACAATGACATAAAAACTAGCATGCCAGCTTTCCAGYAACTACAGTTGTCACATAAAATTTGTCCAATTTTGCTCATTTACACGCGCAATTAAAAATTGTCACATAAAAATTACTCGTCTAGACGAGGTCTGAAGTTCAAGACTCAGAGGAGCTGACATTTCTTTAGATTTCTTTCTTTGCCAAAAAATAAATAAATTCAATCAAATATAGAACAGGGAACCCGGTAAAGGTAACTTAATGAGTAAATTACTAGAGAACAATGAGAATAAATAAATAGTTCTGAACACAAGTAACGCAGGCTCAAGTTTACAGGAAAGTGAGTGACTGAGTGAGTGAGTGATTGAGTGATTGAGTGAGTGACAGATTCGTCCCCCTCCAATAACTCTTCGATTGCTTCGCAATCTTCGAGTTAAAAAGGGATGGTCCTATGCTGAACTGATCAGCATTAACGCAAGGAATTCATAAGAAGTTCGGAAACACAACAATATAAAAATATTGGCTTCGCCTCGGACTGAAAGTAATTTTGCGGTCTTAAAATACCGTCCAGTCTTCATTGTCGGCTTTGAATATTACATAAGATTTAGAATGGTTTACATGAATTCTACATAATTGCGTTTAGTAGAGTGATCGCACTTTTAAACCGTGCAACTGTACAGGCTAAATAGTGCTATTTAGTTGGATTTAGTAAATCGTATATGCGGTAATTGAATATATACAAATTCGGGGTCTGAAGGTGAATATTTATATGCCAGTATATTCGATGTGTATTCTTATTTTCTCCCATTATTCATTGTATATATTTTTTCATTGTTCATTATTCCTTAGGAGTTTTGTTTAACTGATATGCAAATGAAGCATTCAATACCATCTTCCTCATGATTGTAAGCCGCGTGGCTGCCAATTGCGCCTTAAAAACAGCGGTCCGTGTGAAATGATCTATACATGTGAAGCGCCTTTGAACTCAGAGGATATTGGCGCTATATAAATACCACATATTATTATTATTATTATTATTATTATTATTATTATTATTATTATTATTATTATTATTATTATTATTATTATTATTGCTTCAGGTCCACTCTTAGTACAAATTAGTACTAATCAGATTTTGTGCATTTGCACGGTTTAAGTGCGATCACTCTTTCATTACTTGTATTGGGGTCTGAAGGTGAATATTGAATAATGAATAACGGTTCAAAATTGACTGGGAATAATGAACAATTAGTACTAATAGTACAAATACTAGTTTTTACTAGTTTTAATACTAGTTTTAACTAGTATTTACGGGATGTTAAAACATCCCGTAAATCAGGACCGAGTTCAGTGATATCTTCCCAGGTACTAGCTGAAGTCTCTAAAAGACACATACCAATTTAAAAACATCAACATTATCTCTATTATCAGAATAAATTAGTATCGGAATTCAGCAGGATCAATTAATACCACTGGAAGACACAACTAAGGGCCTGATTATACGAAGCGGGCTGACCCGGTTGACCGGGCATTATTTATTCATCCCGTCTTGCGATTATATGAGACAGGATTAGCCGATTAATCAATAACGTTTGCCGCGAAGGATTGTTAAAAAAATAAAATCTCAACAAAATGGAGATAATAATTTAACCAGGATAAGGAAATTTGTTCGCCTATCATATTACCCAATTTTGTATGCTCTTTTCGCTGCTTTTCCATTTTTATGGAATACTGCAACTTTATATGCTTCAAAAAACACTGTTAATTAATAACGTAGTAGCTTAATTACGACGAGTGGCGTCCTTGCGTTCATGTGTTGTACGCTGACACACTTCTGGGCATGCAGCAGGCGCACCCGCTTGACTTTCGATTATATGGGAAATTTTCAGAGCGGTCTGCCGGGATCCCGGTTTTGGATTACCGAGATCTCGGCAAACCGGGCTGGCTCACTTTCCATGTAATTGCACAGCCGGAATCTTTTGTATTTGAAAACAAACCGAGATCTCGGCAAACCGGGCCAGCCCGCCTCATATAATCAGGCCCTAAAATTTTAAAATTTAATATACTTATACTTATAGAGAAGAGTGTTTCTCGCGGAGTGAAGCATCACCAATTTTGTAATAATAGATATTTCCATTCATTGATCTGATTACCAGTTTTATTTTATTGTCATCAACAATTAATTCGATATTTATTTAAAGTTCAGAATTAATCTAACTGCGAATTTAAAGAGAAAAAGATTATACTAATGACTTTTGAAGTCGTCTTGAGCAACGTTAATGGATTGACTGTATCTATAATATTACTAATATAAATCTCAAAGCGTCCCAATTATCAGTTTCATTTCGGTTTCATTTCGAAATTCTTCCAACAAAGACAATAATTCCTAGCGACACACAGCCAATTTCATTAACGCTGTTTCAGTTGCTAAGACAAAGTCAACACAGTCATTTGCAATTATCATATTTGTATTTTTTTTGCCAGATTATTCCACCTCAAGTTTCAATTAAACTTTATGACAATGTCAATGACATTTAACTTGACCCATGATCTGAAATTTTAAATCAAAATCCATCGCTGAAGTTAAAAACGAATTTTGTGCAAATTTG